CCTGCTGAAGCTGTTCATATGAATGCCAAAATTTAAAATCCAAATTAAGTTTTTATTGCAGTTTCATACTTTACAAGAAAATCAGTATATTTTTGGCCTGGTTTTCCTTTCTGCCACCCCATATATTTAATTTTCTTTTTCAGTTTCTTTCTTGGACCTCAGCTCAAGGACCATGTAATGTGTGAAAATATTTTCCACAGTCTTCCCTTTTTAGATTACTATATTTCTTAGTGTACTTACAGTTCCTGGCCGTGGATATGGCACTCGCCCTTGGAAGGGAACCCACTGGTAGTTTGGGCCATCTCGGTGGGCATAGGGACCAAGAAATACCCTCCTCACATCAGTCATGCTGTACATGCACACTGCTGACCCCTTGAAGATGTTACTAAAAAAAGGGGAGAAGAAATCAAATCAGGTTCCTTATCAGTCAGTTTAATCAAGGGGAAGAGCTACGGGAATAACAGCTTGTTGATTTCTAATTTATTGCATGTGCTGGTTACCAAAACTCTGACATGCTCCCAGAGCAATCCTAACACACCTCCTGTGAAAGTTCAGCATAACTGATACCATCTCTCAGGCATTTTCCAAAGCAGATGGCTGCTATTCCACTATTTAAAACATATTGTCCCCAGAAGGCCAAAGCCTTCTGAGTAAACTTCAACAGGGCTGACCCTAGAGAACTATTCAATTTTTTTCCTACACTTGGCATTTTTCTCTCTTTTTTAGCAGTCTCTTCTGTCATTTGGGCAGCACACACGCAAACTTCAGTGTTGTTTCTTACCTTCAGATTTCTTACAGAACACTGTAAGGACTTGTAAATCTGCCTCTTCTATGCCTGGTTATCACTAGAAACATTCTTTTGGTTTAGAAACTAAAACTTTTGTCCTTCACGGATGAATGTGGCAATACAAGCAGTACTGCAAACCTTCCTCCGGCTGAAGTACAAGTATAATTTTGTTCTTTGTGAAAGCACATTGAAACCAAAACATTCAACTCACAGTTATGTGTGATACAATAACAGAACTTTTGAAAGATCATTAATTTCAGCAATTTTTTTACTAACACCTTCTTGAGTAGCCAATTTCCCACACTACAGAGTTTCTATTTCACCCTGCCCCCAAACAAGTTTATTTATGCTTGTGTTATTTTTCCAGGTCTGTGTGGAAAGAGCTACAAATTCTGACCCCCACTATTAAAAGCCAATTTAACAGCAAGAACAGTCTGAGAAACCAATAGTCCTTGTGATTACTTGCTTCAGAGTGATGATGTACATTGCTCATAAGGAAAGAAACCTAATTCATTACCTCTTACTGCCACTGGCTTCTCAGTTCAAAGGTTAAGAAAATTTTGTGTTTCTTAAAAACATTTTTAACAGAGACCTCTTTAAAACAAGCAGCCACCCAAGTTTCCATGTAAGTAAAATGATATGTTCTATACCTGGAAGTTGTAAACACTCCATAGACTATTGGATTTTTAGGGTCTTTTGAGTTCATTAGGAACACATCCTCTGTAACAACAAAAAGAGATGGAAAAAAGCCCTAAGTTAAATTCATATGGATAATATCTGAAAATATTTCTGTATTCAAAGCCATTTCTGCCACTTACGTAGTTCATCAAAGTGTGTGTCAATGCCATTGGGTCCTGGCACAGAACAAATCAGACGTGCTTTGAGGAAAGTTGTCCATTTGTTAACAAGGCTCCTGTGGCCACCAAAGTCATTCTAATAACAGAAGTATTTTTCAATAATATTTAATAACATCCTTTGTTAGAGGTATCAGCAGAGTGCAGACAAAATACAGTAAATAACCAAGAGATGCTACTCACAGAAAACAGAGAAAATAATTCAAATTCTACATACAAAAGCATTAATATGTTGTCAAAAGCATTAATTCTGAATAGCACATCATTTAAAAACAAACAACAAAAAAACCAAACAAAAAACCCCAAACTTCTATGTCTTGTAATGCATGTATAACAGTGGAGAAAGACAGACAGGGAGAATATTTTGTTCCAGAAGTCCCAGGCTTGCCATGTCCTGGTAAAGCACAAGGGGTTTATTATTCTTAACTGGGTAGCAACAAAGTAAATATGCAAGTTACAAGCAAACAAAGTAGATAAAAATGCCAGAACACTGGGATCAGTTGTATAGCTGAAAAACTTATGAATAAAGTGCACCAAGGAGTCCATAGTTGGGGGGTTACTGGATTTTGAGCAAGTTTTGAGGACATAAATTGAAATTTTGCTCATGGATTAACATGATGTTTTACTGTTAACATCATAGTTGCCAAAGCGACAACATTTAGTAATATAATTTTGTTTGTAGAAATTGTTTTTAAAGTTTGTAATATGAACGTTTATCAGTGTGGATGAATGATTCGATCTTCAGTCATTAAGGGACTTCTCAGTGGTTTCCCATTTCTACAGCTAGGCTTAAACAACTGTTTTGTTAAATCTTTCTTTGCCTCTGTTTTAAAGAAAGGTATTAGTATTCCTTTAGAAAGTCAATCTTTCAAATGTTTTTGGCCCACCTGGAAGTATCACATTTCCTGTAAAAGATTCCCTCTTTTGCAGACACATTCTAAGCCTCAGAAGGTACATATGACTTTTTGAACAAAACATCATAGTTTGTGAAGCTTTCCCAAACACAGAAGAACTGAATAGTACACCTTTGGGTGTGTTATACCCTAACTGTTTTTCACCTGAGATGATCTTTATTACAATGCCAGTGTTAATACTAAATAACTTACAGGTAAGAAAATGCAGTTTCTAAAATGACTTGCAAAGTGTGTGCAAGCGTATCCAAATCTCACATGAAGAGGTCATGACTTTACCTTGCATATCTGCCCTATTCTGGCGTGAGTGGCTTTTCCAGTGTGCTCTCCATCAATTGCATTTTCACGGAAGAAGAAATAGATTTTGTCATCTTCTGGATTGTCACTCTCTGGTATCAGGTGAGCACTAATAAATCTAGGATCTGAGAAGACAACATCATTATGTGTTACTACTCCATTAACTGAATCATTTGCCTTCCTTACAAAAATGAATTGTGTAAGGAATAAATTGTATTTTACTTCCCAAGAATCAATATTTGCATCCAATGACAAATAAATCCATGCTAGGTACACCACGACCCATTAACGTGTGACATTACATTCCTCTCATATTTAATACATAGAGGTGTTTGCTACAGATATTTAATTAAAAGATCTTAACTTTACTAAAGGAGCGATTAAACATTTGTGATTTCTCTTTACAAATGGTTCTATTAAGTTACAGCATGGCTTCCTATTTCCATGTATTTATTAATGACATTTTTCTTGCTTCTTTGGATGTTTTCACTTCAGTCAAAAATCTTCCTGCACATGTTGTACATCAAATGAGAGAATTATCAAAACAAACATAATATTGCTAACTTCAGCAATAATGAAGAATACATACAGAAAGTATTTTGCATTAATAAAGTATTAATGTGTTACTGTAAAAAGAAACGTTTAAAAATACAGTTTTGATTGGTATTGTCTATTTCCACACTATGATACCCCTAGCCCCCAAATTTTTGTCTCATTTTCAGAAGATAAGTGAATTTGTGAATTTCTATTAAAGGTGTTCAAATACGGTGCCTTCATTCAAACAAATAATTATTTTTTTCATAGAAAACCTTTATTTCTTGAGGAGTAGAGTGACAACATTATCTTATTATGAAGAAGATGCATAAAAAATTGTGGAAAGAAGGTTTGGGAGAGAATCTTATAGAAATAGTAATAGTAAATTCATACCAGTGGTGTATCTGGCTCAGCACTGTATTTTAGAGATACTTCAGCTGGTATCTTTCACTATATTTGGAAAAAAGAAGGCATATCCAACAGATTTACCAATCTGTTTCATAACTATTTTACATCCTGCTGGGATAATTAAATGTGGACTATATTTAACTACTCAGAGTCCTGTTCCTATGTGAAGTTATATGCTATTTTAGTGTGATGCATTAACATCTTTTCAGTGGATGTTTATTGCTATATAGTTATAGAAATAATGAACCCTACTTTGTTTTGCCAGTTTGCACTAGCTGTCCTGGGAAACCCATTGCTTATTAAGGATGGCAGTGTTCGTAAGCAACATATTTTTATATTTTTAGATCTTTCTATTATATTATATGAGCACATGCTGCATAATTTTGTGTGTGTGTCTGTATGTTTGTGCACATATATATTTATATATACACACACACATAGTACATGAGAATCACCAAACTGGCTGAGACCAAGGTTTACGTGGTTCAATATACAGACTTCAACATTGTCCAGAAGTAATTATCTGGGACAAAGAAAAAAAATGGTAAGTGCAAATAATACTTTCTTAGAATAATCTCCTTTCCTCCAACTATTTTCATTGTAGCTGATTCTTGAGCTTGATTGTTGTCTCTGTGCTTGTTAAATCTCAATAAAATTATCACCCAGTGATTTTCCTAGACTCTTCTTGAACCCATGCAAATTTCCAGAATTCATCATTCCTTTTGGAATTTATTCCTCACATACACAGTGTAATTAATGAAAATCTACTTCTGAATTAATGTTTTGAACATTTATCGTACTAAGTTCATTTGATGCATTTTAATTCCTGTACTGGAAATACCCACAGCGTTCAAGATGTGGAAGAACTGTGCTCTTATACAAGGGTTATCTGTTCTTCTATTAATTCCTAACATTTAACTTGGATTTGACAGTCCTGAAGCAGTAATCTGAAATTTTCATGACATTTTATGTGCCAGGACCCCAGACCAGAACCTCACTTTTCATTGGTAATACTCAGTCCACGGCCCACCATTTTATATAGGAAGATAGACATGTTTTCCTCATGGATTTCCCCACAGTTTATCACAACATCATTCATCAAGAATAATTTAATTTGTCATTTTATTGCTTAGCTATCTAGTTGCATAAGAACCTTTTGTAATTCTTCACAGTCTTCCTTTGTCTCATGATGCTGAATAACTTAGTATCATGTGAAAAATTTTCTCATCCTGCTGCCAAACCTCTTTTTCAGATTATTTATGAACATATTGAACAACAACGGCTGCAGAACAGATCTCTGAGGAACTGAGTCTATTACCTATTGTTTATTAAAATAAATCTTTTAGACATTGGAAAACACCAAAAATCTGTAAGCAGCTTAAGGTCTCCACCCCAAACTCCAGTAACTTAAGCTACCTAATTTGCTTCCTCTCTTTCAAGCATGCATTTAATAGCCTTCAAGTTACACTGGCATAAGACACGTATCACGAGAAACACAAGGCTACAGCTAGAATATTTCTGCATTGCAGGCTGTAGAAGGATACATTAGAGAAAGAGGATACCCATTAGTAGACACTGTCTGGGCTACTGGATCTGGAGAGTCTCTTGTCTGAATACATTGTTTTTACAGTCTTAAAGTCTTAATTAAAAGGGTAAAAAAATCATTCAACCAAAACTTAACCAAAATTCCAAATGGTTGAATGATTTGTTTCTAGTGCAATGGGTTTTGTAAATCACAAGATATCAAATTCTAAAACAAATCACTATATTATCAGGCAGCAAAAAACTAGCTTTAAATTGAAATTACACATTTCAACTAATTCTGTCTGAGTGGTAGCAGAGGAGAAGGATATGAGAAAGGCAGATATAACTAATGCTACAGCCAGAGAGGATTAGAATATCCTTTATATACATTTCTAACCAGTGTTCATCTGGGATGAATTCAGATTTTCAATTAGTGATTAATAATTCTAACTACATCCCTGAAAAGAAAACCTAATATTAGAACACATCCATTGGATATCATGGAACAGTTTTTGTCGAGTAACACTGGTGTTTCTTACAGAGCAAACCTCAGGCTGCTTCACCATCTTGTTAAATTAATAAGATTTAGTCAATAAAAGCGATTCTTCATGTTATAAAGCCTTTGCTCTTGTTACTTGGTGGTGTTTGTTTTTTAGCCCCTCTTCCATAAAACATGTTGTCTATGCAATGAAGCAAATAAAGGAAGAACATGCTACATGTGTTCTGTTACATACAGAAATAGATTCATTTCTGTTCAGAATGAATAATACAATCATAAAAGCAACGTAGTGATTCTGTATGTGGAGAGAGGAAGAAAAGTGTGGTTGATAATTTTGTAGGTTATAAAGCCAAGAAGTGGGTGGTGTGAACTAGTTTGATCTGTAGTGTGTTCTTTATTGTTTCATTAGCAATGGAGCTGTTTAACTTGCCTGAGGCTTGGTGCATACTTGCATTTAACTCCAGAGCTTCAGACCATGCTTACAACTAACTGTTTAGGGCCACGATGAATCAATCAGCCAGATGGCCTGCAGTCACGCAACACAGCCCTCTCCATGGACTATGCTTCATTTTTTTACTGCTCTTCTTTGAGAAAGGGAAAAGAGATGTTGTCCACAGATGAGGGACTTCTCCTTGGCTCTCCTAATTGCTCACCCACGCAGCAGAAGAAAGAATGTCATCTAGGAATGCTCATGTTCAAGTATTGAGACTGCCCTGTCTTACCCTGCAAAATTAAACAGGTTGGGTATCAAAGGGTCCCCTTGGGAAGTTTAAAATAAGTCAGTCAGGGTTGACCTATTTCATACATTTAACACAGACAGAAGTGCTGGAATGAACTTCAAGCAAGTTTTACTGAATGGAAAGTGGGACTTCGGTCCAAACGCACTGGTGGCAATTGTGAAAGTTGGTGCCGTGCAGCTAATGTGCATCAGTAGAATGACTTCAAATTTCTGCGTATGAATTACCAGGCATTCTGTGTCCCTAATACTGTCTTCAATCCATCAAGAGGAAATACTCAGAAATACTGGTACAACAGTTCATCACTTTCTTGTTTAAAAGCAGTCTGCTGTTGCCTAAAAGTCCAGAAAGCATGTTTGGGGAAAATGAATTTAAGAAATAATTTGAAGGCAAATACTTTGCAATGATTCATTGCTTTAAAAAAAACCAACACAGGCAAGCAATGTGGAAGAGTGCTTTAAAAAACAGCATACATCAAACAAGCATGTTTGAAACATGTTTAAGCATGATCAAAGGAGAAACAAAGCCACAGAATAAACATGATCAAAATAAAATTGCAGCTAAACCCTTCCTCTGATCTTGCAGCCAATGTGAGCAAGCTAAAAATAAAAACTTAGATTTTTATTTAAAACAATCAGCCTTGAAAAGCAAGTTATTAAAGCACACACCTTTTTCAGTCTCCTTTTTCCACTTGTCTTGGCTGTGGGGCTATTTCTCAGCTCCCACACGACTCCTTTCTAGCGTCACTGTTTGTGTACCCTCCTGCAATTCCCAGCTCTGCAGACATTTCCCTGGCAGCAGCCCATTAAAATGTCCTTCATTAGAAATCTTGCTCTTTATGAAAATGACCCCTTGGGCAGCAGCCCATTAAAATGTCCTTCATTAGAAATCTTGCTCTTTATGAAAATGACACCTTGGTCCAGCTGCCTCTATGATTTATATGCCATTGTTTGCTTAGTTAAGTAATGGAAACATGTTTTGCTTGTCTCAGCAACTCAGGTTGAGAAAAAGCTAAGGAAAATCGATCTGCATTGGTTCTTTTTCAAATGTTACTCTTTAGCAGCAATAACCACACAAACACACACACACCCCCAGTAGGTAAAGTCAGAAATTGGATTCCTAACTGAATTGCATTAGCATATTAATGAAGATCTATAAACTTGAAGGCACAGAAATTACCTTTATCTGTCAAGATTGAGTGAGCTGAAGGAACAGAAGGTGGGGTCATCTCTTCATCACTTGACAGGAGCCAAAGGGCAGTTCTCTCAGGAAGTGTTTTGTAGAGAATTTGAACTGCATGCCTCTCTTACTGTATATTTACGGTCAAGTGACTAACTTATCAGTTCACAGCAAGAAAATTCTAGGAAACTAGGGAAATTTTACGCTCAGTATAACTGCAATTGCTATAATTTAATGAAAAGTA